TTTCACAATTACATACTGAAAGAGAGGGGTAGTCAGGAGCAATGTGGGTCTCTATAAAGCTAATAGCAGTGATGTAGTCAATGAAAATAATGAAAAGGTGGATATGCTGAATAATTACAGTGCATCAGTATTTATAGCTGAAGATTGGAGGCAGTCTAGAAAGAGTTCACTGGTATATAGGAGCTGTGTCATGAGGAGAACGTTGAATAGGTTGAGCCTATACTTATTGGAGTTTGTAAAAATGAAAGGAGACCTTTTTGAAATATACAAGATTCTTTGGGGACTTTTTTTTTGTTCATTCACGGGCTGAGGGTATCACTGGCTAGGCCAACATTTACTGGCCATCCCTAAGTAGGGACGGGAATTAAATGCTGGCATAGCCAGCGATGCCCTCATCCCATGAATGAATTAAATAAAAAGATAAAAATTGCCCAGAATGTAGTTGAGAGTCAACCACATTGCTGAGGGTCTGGAGTCACATGTCATTCCAGACCAGGTAAGGATGGCAGCTTCCTTCCCTAAAGGACATTAGTGAACCAGATGGGTTTTCTGACAATTGACAATAGTTTCATGGTCATCAGACTCTTCAAACAATTTTTTTTAATTGAATTTGAATTCCACCAACTGCCATGGTGGGATTTGAGCCTGGTTCCTCAAAACATTACCTGGGTCTCTGGATTAACAGTATAGCGGTAGATGAGGAAAGGTTGCTTCTCCTTGTGAGACAGTCTAGGACGACAAGGCATAATCTCAGAATATGGGGTCACAGATTTAAGTGAAATGTAGACGAATTTCTTCTCTTAAAGGGTAATGAAGCTGTGGAATTCCTGAGCCAATGTGATTCACTTCCATGATTTCAGGAAATAGTTGGAGGCGCTGGATACTATAAAGGCTATAGACCCTGACAAGGTCAAAATTTACAATACCAGGTTAAAGTCCAACAGGTTAATTTGAATGGCAGAGCAGATTAAATGGGTTAAGTGGTCTGATTATACCCTAATGTCTTATGGCCTTAAGAGATCAGTATGCCAGACATCCCCAGGAAATTAATATTGCATCCAGGGCAAAATACACCTAAATTACTGACAGCAAAATAATAAGAATAAAGAAAACAAGTTCCTTAACTATAACAAAAACCAAAAGAACTGCAGATGCTGTAAATCAGAAACAAAAACAAAGTTGCTGGAAAGGCTCAGCAGGTCTGACAGCATCTGTGAAGGAGAAAACAGAGTTAACGTTTCAGGTCAGGTGATCCAGATAACATTCTGGAGATCTGGGTTTGAATCCCACCACAGGTGATGTTGGAATTTGAGTTCAATAAATATCTGGAATTAAGAGTCTAATGATGACTATGAATCCATTGCTGATTGTCAGGAAAAACCCACCTGGTTCACTAATGTCCTCTAGGGAAGGAAACTGCCATCCTTACTTGATGTGGCCTACATGTGACTGCAAACTCACAGTAATGTGACTGACTCTTAACTACCATCTGGGCAATTAGGGATGGGCGATAAATGCCGCCTAGCCAGTGAAACCCTCATCTTATGAATGAATAAAGGAAAAAAGCCTTTTGCAATGAAGTGCGCCTACCATATGTCTAATAAATAAAGCAAAATGCTGCAGATTCTGAAAACCTGAGACCAACAGAGAATGTAGGAGAATCAGCAGGTCTGGTGTCACTTGTGGAGAGAAAAAGTTAACATTTCGTACAAGATTTGACTCTTTTTTGGAACTGAAAGGGGTTAGAAAATGGTGGTTTATATGCTTTCAATGGAGGCACAAGAGGAGCAAGAACAGCAAATGCTATGAAGACTCAGTGCAAAGGACAAAGGGATTGCTAGTTGTGGTGAAAGAGAAAAAAAAATGTGGAATGAATGTAGTTTAAGGTGTGAAAGGGAGAAAATGCATTGTCTCTGCTGACAGCAAAGTAGACAACTCACAAACAGACAAGGCTGTGAAGTGAGAATGAAGAATACAAGAAATTTTGAGGACAGACACCATATAGCCAGGCCTTCAAGTTGTGGAGTTCAACATAACGCTTTGACAACTTGTAGCCTCAAGGACACAATCAATATCCTGGGAGTTACCGTTGATCAGAAATTCACCACATAAATGCAATGGCTACAAAAGCAAGTCAGAGGCTAGGAATACTGCAGTAATTAGCTCGCCTCCTGACTCCCAAAAGCCTGCGCACCATCTACAAGGGACAAGTCAGGAGTGTGGTGGAATACCCACCATGTGCCTGAATGAGTGCAGCCCCAACAACACTCAAGAAGCTTGGTATCATCCAGGACAAAGCAGCCTGCTTGATTGGCACTACATCAACAAGCATCGACTCCCTCTACCACTGACGCTCAGTAGCAACAGTGTGTACTATCTACAAGATGCACTGCAGAAATTCACCAAAGTTCCTCAGACAGCACCTTCCAAACCCACGACCACTTCCACCTAGAAAGACAAGGGCAGCAGATACATGGGAACACCACCACCTTCAAGTTCCCCTCCAAGTCACACTCAGTCCTGATTTGAAAACATATCGTGTTCCTTAACTGTCGCTGGGTCAAAATCCTGGAGTTCCTTCTTTTAAAAGGATTGACACCAGAGGGCAATGTTTTAACATAGAAATAAATGCAATGTGAGAAAAAGCATTTTTTTTCCCCACAGTGAAGAGTTAGGATTCAGAATTTGCTGCCTGCAAGCATGAAGGAGACAGATTCAATTGAGGCATTCAAGTGGGTTTTGGATGATTACACAAATAGAAATAATGTGCAGGATTATGGGGAAAACGCTCAGAATACTGGTACCAATACAATGGGCCAAATGCCCTCTTTTGCACTGTAACAATTCAATAATTCTCACTCTTGATTGTCTAGTAAAAAAAAAGGTTGCTGATTGGATCCCAACATCAGATGACTAATGCAGAACAACATGGCGACATGCAACACACACTGTAAAACCAGAAATATCATAGAAACAGGGCCTTAAAAAAATTCATGCCAAATAGCTTTTATTTGACATTGACATTTGACTTTGGCCAATTAAAGTTATCACCTGTGATAGCTTTTAATAATTTACCAGAAAACTGGCTTAGATTACTGGTTCAGTGATCTACTCCAGTTAACACTGCAATCCTGCTAGCAAGAAGGACACTCGATAGTTTTAGTTCTACTTTGCACTTGAGGAAGCGAGGTGAATGTAAGATAGAAATAAGATTTTTATTATGCTCTGGGTACTTCTGGTAGAACTGTAATTTTTTAATACTCTGAAACCTATGAATTATGCACAAATTTTGTCTATTTGTTGAAATTACGTTTTACTCTGTATAGTTAATAGGAATCACTAGAACATTTCTAAAATGCAATTTTATGCACCATTCATACCTAAAATGTCAAGATCAAAACATGTTTGATAAGATTGTGGCACAACACGAAGAGGAAAAGGAACTTAAATGAAGTAATAAAGGCATTCAGCTCCTGGCTATGAAGAAATTTACTTGGAATATCACCAGGATGAGGGTTTTGATATCACAAGAGATTAAGAGATATTGGGATTTTTCTCCTCAGAACAGAGAGTATTAAAAAAAAAAATCACAGAAAAACAACTTTATAGAGCAATTCAAAATTGAGGTGTTTTGATACAGAAGGTAGGCAGGAACTTTTCTTCAGATATAGTATTAAAATATTTGCTAAAAAGCAAGAAAAACCATATTTTTAAAAAACGCTCAGCAAATTGTTATGATCTCGAAGTACTCAAAGGGATTGCTACCTCAAAATAATTTTTTTAACCCACAATCTTCAGTTCAACTAATTGCTTGTTCTTTTAGCACAGACACAGTTATATTAGCATGGATTGAAAATAACTACAGAGTGGCACAGCAGTTAACACTGTTGCCCCACAGCACGAGCAACCCAGCTTCAATTCCACCCTCTGACAACTGGCTGTGTGGAGTTTGGTGGATTAGACATGCTAAATTGCTCATAGTGTCCAGGGTTGTGCAGGCTAAATCGGTTAGCTATGGGAAATGCACAGTATAGGCTAGTGAGGGTGGATTCGAGTGGGATGCTCTTTGGAAGGTTGGTGTGGACTCGATGGGCCGAATGCCCTGCTTCCATGCTGTAGGGATCCTATGATTCTATTTACTGGACCAGACCCACTGAGTTTCAACAGCATTTTCTGAATAAATTTCACATTTCTGCAGTATTTTGCTTTTAACTAAAATAGCTGGGCTGTCTTATGGTCTAAAATTTTACCAAATATTTCCTAAATACTTCATTTAAAATCTTGATGTATTTTACAGTCTGCTTTGTCTGATGGCCCAGCAAACAGTGAAATATTTTGGGTAATAGTTATTATATAAATAACATTCTTTGTGTACACTGAAAATAAAGAGCATTGCACAACATTCGAGTTCGTTTACTTTATAAACATCTCTTATGTAAAGTGTTTTCTTTTAAATACCCTATAGATTTAGAAGAGCTGCAGCTAAGTGTCATCTTAGCCGTCTTAATACTACAATATTATCACATCATAGCACAATTTGAAAAAGCTAGATGCATCAAAGAACACTCGCATAAATATGTGTGTTTATTTGCAAGCAGAGCAACCCTTTGTGCTGCAAATATTAACTGCACTAACACTGTAAACTAGAACTATAGTGAATAAATGGTCTAAGTGCCCACAGTACTTCAGCTAGAAACGGAAAAAGATGGAAACGTTAGAGGAAGTCAGCACATCACCGAATGACAACACGACGCTGGCCTTCCCTCCTTCAAAAACAAACTTAGGGATAAACACTTCTCACAAACATAGTGATCCTTCAATATCTTGTCAACACGCGTATCACAACGTCCTTTTCACAACTTTCGTCCAAGAAGAAGTAGCAAACGTTCCTCGTCCCATTAAAACTTTCCGCTATACAGTCAGCCCAATCCTGACACGGAGATTTCTCCTGTTCCTCTTGGAAAACAATAATTAAGACAGAAACGAACAAGAGCTGTCACCTGAAAGACGAAGCCTCAGCTCGCCAGAGGCGGGCGACGAGCTGAAAGCGGTTAGAGCCAGTAGCAACAACGCTGCACAAACACGACCCGGCTTCATGGTGCGGCCGCCTGCACTCGCGCTCTCTGCACCGTGCGCGCGCACTGGGCACGCTCCAGCCATAGCCATGTGACTCCCGCGTGCCGATTCCGCTGCACGCGGACCCACCTGAAGAGCAACGGAAACGTTGTCCTTAGTACAGAGCAACAAGGTAAATCCAGATTTACAAACAACAAACTGAAGTCGCTGGAAAAGTTCAGCAGCTCTGGCAGCATCTGTGAAGGGGGGAAAAGAAAATCAGAGTTAACGTTTCGGGTCCGGTGACCCTTCCCCAGAACTCAAATCCAGATTTACCATTTGCTGGAGCGGTTAGCCGTTCAATGGCGAGATTTATTGGGTTGCAAAGTGGAACTCTAGTTTTTTTTTCTAAAAAAAAAATTTATTCTGCAGGCCTGTTGTTTCCAATAGCGGATTGAGAAGAGATTTTGTTTTTAAAAAGCAAAGATTGATGGAGGCATTCAGCAGATCTGGCAAAACGTTAACGTTTCGGGTCGAGAACACCGACTGTGAGGAGGTGTCAGTTCATCTTGATTCATCTTGTCAGTTGTTTCCCCCACCGTTTATGCACACTCCACACAATAGCACCATGCTGTTTCTTGGCTGCACCGAAATTTCAAGTTAAACAAGAACAGAAATTGCTGGAGAAACTCAGCAGATGTGGCAGCATCTGTGGAGAGAAAGCAAGGTTAATCGTTTGGGGGGAGAGATAGTAGGAACTGCAAATACTGGAGAATCTGAGATAACAAGGTGTAGAGCTGGATGAACACAGCAGGCCAAGCAGCACCAGAGGAGCAGGAAGGCTGACGTTTCGGGCCTAGACCCAGTGGCCCTTCCTCAGAGCTGACTGATTTTAGCTAGGAAGATGTAGTATGTACAAAAGCAGAAGTTTCTGGAAAAGCCCATCAGGTCTGGCAGCATCTGTGAGGGAAAAGTCAGATTTAACATTTTGGGTTTCGAAATTTAACTCGACTTTTTTTCTTCACAGATGCTGCCAGACCTGCTGAGCTTTTCCAGCAACTTCTGTTTTTGTTCCTGATTTACAGCATCTGCTGTGTGATTTTTATTTAGATCATAGAATCCCTACAGTGTGGAAACAGGCCCTTCGGCCCAACAAGTCCACACTGACCCTCAGAGCATCCCACCCAGAGCTATCCCCCTTTAACCCCCCTAATTTAGGCATCCCTGAACATTACAGGCAATTTAGCATAGTCAATCCACCAGGAAACTGGAGCACCCGGTGGAAACCCATGCAGACACAGGCAGAATGTGCAAACTCCTCACAGACAGTCACCGAAGGGTGGAATTGAACCTGGGTCCCTGGCACTGTGAGGCAGCAGTGCTAACCACTGAGCCACCGTGCCACCCCTAGATGTAGTGTTTGTGCTGAAGATCAGGAGTAAGTATGGAGATGGCGGTGTCCCAGAGAGAAAAAATTGTAACTAGGTAGACAAAGGGATGCATAATGGTGGGAGAAAGGAAAGCAGATCAATAGGGGCCGTTAGGAGGTGAAAATGTGTTTGGCTGTGATGAAAGCAGTCCATTGCAGCATCATGACGGATCCAGGGGTGGGGTGGCAGTAAAGGATATGGAAGAAGGTGTTGAGGTTCTAAATTTACTGAATTCAATATTTCAAGTGTTTTAATTAATTCCATTTTTGGTTTTGAAACAAGTTCTAAAGTTACTTTTCAGTATTATGTACCTGTGTACCTGGTTCACTCTCCATTCTCTAACACTCAATAATCTTAGTTTTAAGAAGTAGTTTTTGTAAAGTTTAGTTAGTTTGACTAATGTGTGGAGATATAAAAGAGCACCTCATTTTCGTCAGATGCATGGCCTGTTCATGTGAAAACTGAAGACTTACATCTTCTCATGTCCTGATAAAACACGTGTGGTCAGTTGGAGGAGCTTGCATTCCAAATTTTGAAATTGAAGCCACAGATGATATCAGTAGATATGGTTAGGTATGGAAGAATTTAGCTATGATGAATTAATGTGCGGCATCTAGCAGGATCGTGGACCAAGAACTGGAAATTATAGATTATGCTTTTCCATCGAGCATGAACACAATGGGATAAACGGTCCTCTTCAGGCCGGACCACCGCCTCATTTCTGACATGACTAAGCATCCGCTGGCCAATTTGTGAGTGTGCAGTGGTGATCTCTGTGAATTATTGGCTGAGGGCAGGATGTCCTACGCTAGTGTTATCAGTCCATGAACCAGAAGGATGGTCTGACCTGATATTTAAAGAGATGGCAGACACGTGATTATAAGTCCTATGGGCAGGAACAAGCACTTCTCTGCCCAACGTCATATTGCAAAGGCAACACTGAAGGCAAAGAGGTGGGGAGGAAAGTGAAGCAGAAGTACAAAAGATCCATGCATCAGAGTGGTAACTCCTGTGTTAAGTACATTTCCTTCCATCACCACATAATACAAGAGGAAATTATATCAGCTCCTCCAGAGTACTCTAAGCATTTCATTTTGATCCACTCTCATATAATCAGCATTAACGTTTTGGGTCTGGTGACCCTTTCTCAGAACAGTTCTGAGGACGGGTCACCAGACCCAAAACGTGAACTCTGACTTTTTTCTTCACAGATGCTGCCAGACCTGCTGAGCTTTTCTAGCAACTTCTGTTTTTGTTCCTGATTTACAGCATCCGCAGTTCTGTCTCATATCATCAGTGCCCAGGAACGATAGAGCAGTGAAAAAGCAAGAGCGGCTTGCTGTTTGATGATGACTCCCTTCTCCTGACTATGACTGAGTGACGGCTTGCTCATATTTCAGCATGGGTAGAGACAACCTTGCCATCAGACCAAGCAAGGCTCGATGGAAGTACCAAAGGAATTCAGCAGCCATGGGATCATCCAGAGAATATGACTGCAGTGTCGCAAGAGCCTAAATGACCATTTCCATTCTATGAGAGCGAACAGTTAATACTGTTGGCAAATCAGGTGCACGCATAAGAGAAGACATGTGGATGGTGAATATCAGAAATGAGTCAATCAATGTCTGTTGTTCAGGGAACTGGGAGGTGGGAGGGATTGGGAAGCAAAGGCTTGTAGAGAAGAATAATGACAACTGCTAGTGCAAAGTGGATTCAAACAGGAAGGCATGATGTTGACAGAAAGAATAATCTTTATTCTTCCACAGTGGACAAGGAGAAGAGTGTCCATATTGCTTGAGATAGTTGAAGTACTGAGGAGGTTATGCCCTGCCCAAATAGGCTCTTTGATGCTGATGAAGAAGGATATACTGCAGCTGTTCAGTGAACATGTGTGTTGATCAAATGGTAGTAGAGTCAGTGGAGCTGTGTCATGGTGAGAGAGTTTGCAGCTGACAGAATAGTTGAATATACAACAGATAATGGCAGTATAATGACAGTAAGGGTGAACGGTGTAATGAGATCAAAGGCTGGAGGATATCAGTCTGTAATGCATTGAAAGGCAAAGGATGACTCTCAGATGCTGTAACCTCTTAGAAACCTCCAATGGCTGCTGGAGATTTGTGATCAACTGCCATTGCCTTATCACATTGAGCTCAAGCAACCAGCTGCATAGCAAGGGAGAATGAGAGACCTGCATCTGGGGTCTTCACTCAGAACCTCTGGGTCTCTCTCCCTAAGGGCATTGTGTGTAAACGTAAAGCAGGTGGACTGCTGCAGTTCAAGAAGACAACTCACTACCATCTTCTCAAGGGCAACTAGGAATGGGCAATTATAGCTGGTGAGCCAGCGATACTCAAATCCCACAAATGAATAAAAAACTCAACATCATGTTCAATAACTTTAGATGAAGAGTCACCAGACTCAAAACATTAACTCCGCTTTCTTCCCACAGATACTGCCAGACCTGCTGAGTTTCACCAGCAATTTCTGTTTTTGTTTCTGATGTCCACAGTTTTTTGTTTTATTTTGTTCAGAGCAATCCTGATGGCCTTTCTGCAAGTGGCATCAGTACCTCAAGATGTTCCAGAAAGAGAATAGACTCTTGTCATGAGCAGGGGTCCTTCACATTGCTGTGTCTCAAATTCTCAGGTGACTAGAGCTTGCCCACCAAATTCATCAAAGACAATGGGGTATCATACACAGCAACCTGTCTTAAAGTCCATTGGCAGTCTATCACATCATAGAACACAGGAAAGATTTGGAAAACCAGCACAAATACACATGGGTGACCACAGTGATCCTCCACTTGGATGTGTGAGAGAATTTGTGGAATATTTTATCAAATTGCGTTTGATAGACTGTCAGTAGTTGTAAGCTCCCTCACGTTTAGATTTTGGGTTAAAAGACATCTATCCTACATTTTAGCATCATACATTTTTTGAGGCATGTTTGAATGTGAGGGTTGCAGTGAAGTCTGTGCTAATGATGGTCTGAAATATTCAGAGGGGTTGCCTGTCTCGGGACACTGCGGTTCAGCTGCTGGTCAGTTGCACTCTATTACAATGACCAAATCCCCCCCACGGGCCAATAATCACCTTTTAACACCCTGTGATGTCTCAAGCACAGTCCTTAGCAGGGTTGGCTGGCAGGCTTAATAATACAACAGACCTACCTTAAGTCTAGTTTCCTTACCTCTTCTTCAGGAATTGGCTTTAGTCCCACTAGTGGCTACTGTTTAAACCTGGCACTGCTGAAACTACAAAGCTGTCAATGTGATTGATTGACAGCTCTTCAAGGTAGGATCTCTTCCCCAGATGAAGGAAGAAGTCTTGTCCTGTGCCAATTAAACCCCACCATGGCTGCGTTGCAGCTGGCTTTCTCATGGAATGGTTTCCAACCAACCTTTTCATTGGAGGGATAGGGAATGCATTGCCCCATAAAATTCAGCTGTATATTTCTATTCCAGATTTACCCATTCTGTATATACAGCTCTTTTTGAGGGTGAAAAGACAGTTTTTCATCTTAAGCTTGTACTATCAGGAATCAGTGTGTGGTTCGTTCTGTATTGCCTTTAACACTTTGTTTTCTTTGTGTCTCAGACGAATGTAAATATGCAAAATGTGGTCCAGTGTCAGAGCCAGGGATCTGGGGGTGATTCGAACCACCTAAAAATCAGCAAATTGCTGATCACAAACCAGAAC